TCCCGACGTTTCGGTTGCTTTCCAGCAACCGTGGTCACGGGGACTGAGGTGATTGACGTCCCGATGTCAGAGTTAAACCGGAGTACCTTCAGCTTTTTTAATTAATAATTTTGGTCCGATTTACGCAGAATGAACTGTGTCTTGAAGTCTTGCAGTGGTATGCTTGGGTTTAGTTTTAATTTTATGAATTAACGGATCGCAAGCAAGTGGTAGTACCCAGCCTCCCTCTCTATTGAAATTAGGATGTTTTTTAATTTCAATAGCCTCACGTATTATCCTTGGCAGGAATCGATGTTCTTTCGCGAGAATTTGTGGTTTATCAAATCTAATGTAATGGCGGGGACCGTCTAGGATATGATCACAAACTGCAGACTTCCCGGAACGTTGGTGCTTCACGTCAGCTATGTGTTGTTTTACGCGGGTTTTTATAGATCGTTTTGTTTTCCCTATATATGAGAGACCACACTCACAATCAAGCTTGTACACTCCTGCATCTTGTAGAGGAATATTGCACTTGACGGATGGTAAGAACTGACTAATCTTCTTCGGCGGCTTGAAGAATGTTCTAATAGAAGCTCGCTTCAAGATGTAGCCAATCTTGTCTGTGATACCTCTGACGTACGGTAGTACAGCAGGCACACGCTCGACTGTGGCCGGCTTCACTCGGTCACTGTGACGTAGGCGCGGAACCCGAAGCTTGTTGTCGTGCAGAACCTGCTTGACGTGCTGAAGCTCGGCGGCCAGGTGTTTGCTGTCACAGATCCCTCGTGCTCTCTGTAACAAAGACTTGCCCACGGTAGCTAACTGTGAAGGGTGATGGTGGGATTCACCGTTTAAATATCGGTTTGTATGGGTCTTTTTTCTATACACAGTGTGATCTATGTTATTATTATGATTTCTAATGACTAACACATCTAGGAAAGCTAAAGAATTATTTGCCTCAAACTCCATAGTAAATTGAATTTTAGATTTTATTAAATTAAGATGTTATAAAAATGCAGTTATTTTGTCTGATGTTAAAATTGTGAAAGTATCGTCTACGTACCGCTTGTAGAAACTTGGATTTACTGGTGCAGTAAGCAGGGCTTTCTTCTCATAGTCCTCCATGAAAATATCGGCGACAATGGAAGATACTGGTGAGCCCATCGCAACACCATCTACTTGCTTGTAAAGCTGTTCCTTCCATAATAGATACCCAGATGTAAGGCAATGTCTGAGTAATACTGCATATTCTGCTGGCATGTTGTTTTCCTCTAGTTACCTAGTTACAATTGAGATGCAGTCTTCAACAGGTAGGCATGTAAATAGAGACTGAACATCAAAACTGACCATAGTTTCATTGTCAGTAAGACATAGGTCTTTTTTATCTCACTGACAAAATGGTATGAATCCTTCGTGTGTGCTCTTGTGTGCCCTCTGAGTGGTGATAGTACTTTGGCTAAGTGTTGAGCAAAAAGTTACCGCTAAAAAGAACCCCTTTGTCGTATCTCCTCAGTTTCAAGGCACTCCCCTTCTTGCCTCAGCCAGTATCGGTATCCTCGGAGTCGACATATCGAGTGACGTGCAGTTTCGTGGTTACTTGGAAGAGAAGGCCAAATTGGCCTCTAAAAAGCTCGGCGTGCTCAGCAGAGCGGGACAGTATTTCATGCCGGCACACCGCCTGCAACTTTACAAGGCGCAGGTTCGGCCTCACATGGAATATTGTTCCCATCTCTGGGCAGCGGCTCCCCAGTGCCAGCTCCTTCCACTTGACCGCATCCAGTGCAGAGCGGCTCGAATCGTCGACGACCGAGCCCTTTCCGATCGGCTCGATTCATTGGCACTGCGAAGAGATGTTGCATCCCTTTGCATTTTCTTTCGCATCTACCATGGAGAGTGCTCTGAGGAATTGTTCGGATTAATCCCAGCCGCCAAATTTCAGGAGCGCACATCGCGGCAGAACTCCCGATACCATCCACACCATCTGGATGATTGGCGGTCCACCACTGTGCGATTTAGAAGTTGTTTTCTTCATCGCACGACTTCCTTGTGGAATCGATTACCATCAGCGATTTTTCCGGACCGATACGACTTAGGGACCTTCAAGAAAAGAGCGTACTCCTTTTTAAAAGGCCGGCAACGCATCTGCAATTCCCTTTCTGGTGTTGCAGTTGTTCATGGGCGGCGGTAGTCACTTACCATCAAGTGAGCCGCATGCTCGTTTGACCTCTCTCCTTTAAAAAAAATTTGTAAGTTGGCGAATCGATCTGATTCACTATTGAACGTAATGGAGCGTTCGGTTTGTGTATTTTTGGTAACCCAAGGTACTCCGGTTTAACTCTGACATCGGGACGTCAATCACCTCAGTCCCCCGTGAACACGGTTGCTGGAAAGCAACCGAAACGTCGGGAATATAAAATAAATTAATTAACGCGATAAAATCCGTAAAAATAGTTTTATTCAATGTGTAGTGTTCGCGTAAATATAAGAAATCATTATGCATTATTTTTATTTGTTTATAATATGTTTAGTTCTACTCTAATATATTTGGATTTTTTGATCGTTTTGTAAAACTAACAAGGTTTTTTTAATTAGGTTTTTTTTATAGAAGAATTATGGTAAGTAAGCATATACGATAATGGTTGTCGCACGAATAGGTCGGCTCAACCGGAAAGGATCTTGCAGAATACCAGTGTAATACAGCAGTTTACGCTGCTGTGTTTTGTATGGTGAGTGAGTGTATAGAACCTTTTTACTGGAACGAGGCATTCCATCTTAGTTCTCATGGACAACTCATCAGCATTTCGATTATTTATCAAGGATAGATATAGATTTAAGCCACAGCACCTACTTACCATCACATGAACTATGTGCTCGTTTGCCACCCTTATTCTATATTAAAAAAAATATATTTCTTCAGAAAATAAATTTTGCTTCGTGTATTACGCTTTATATTACTCTTCAACTCGGATTTGAAAAATACGTTTGCAACATGAATTAACAATCAACTCCCTCGTGTAACATCGGCTTGAATAAAATAATCTCTATATAGTCTTTAATGTGTGAATGTGTAACGAAAACGTACCATATTATCAACCGAATTCAAAGAAGGAGGAGGTTCTTAATTCGACTGTTTTTTTAGGTGAACCGATTTTGATGATTCTTTTTTCATTTGAAAGCTGGTGCTTCCTCATAATTGCATTTTCCATATAAATTAGATCAAGATCTGACAAGAAGTTTTTGAATTATCCTTAATAATGCCTATTTAATTGACTTTTGTACAAAATTTGTGTTATGTAAAGTAGTGTAAAGCCTGCTGCCAATTTATGCTGAGAACTTAACGTAGTCGACGTTAAGTCGACTACGTTAAGTTCTCTTAAAGCGGACGTCACAAAAAGCATTTTTTACTAAATGAACAATCTCCTGTTTTTGTTGGTATGTATTTGTTTTAATAGAGAGAAACAAAATAGAGATAAATCATAATAAAAATTGTACTTAATAAGTACATTGTATGTAATGTATTTTTTCATTTTTAAATCAGTTTATTCAAAAAAAATGTTTAACAACAAAAACTATGTTGGTTTAAAGTTGACACGTTGTTAACAGAAATGGAGTCCACGCGTGAACATTTCCGTGCCATAATTTATCACATTTTCGTCGCGGCTTATCTATCTCAAGATAAATATCTCAGTGAACTTGTTTCGATTTATGATGTTGAAGCACCGAGTCAAACGACAATATAACGCTGGTATGCCGAGTTCCGACGCGATTTTTTGTCAAGTCAAATGATTTTTTGAAGCAGGAAAACGTTGAGCTGATGAGCAATCCTCCGTACAGTCCTGACCTGAGTCCAAAGGATTTCTTTACATTCCCTAGAATGAAACATTTATTACGCGGTCAACGGTTTGAAGACCCCGAAGCAGCTGTGGAAGCGTACAAATCAGCCATTTTGTCAACATCAACTGCAGACTGGAATTACTGTTATAATGATTGGTTTGCACGAATGGAAAAGTTCATTAAGTTGAATGGAGAATACTTCGAAAAACAATAAAATACAATTTAGCTATACCGTGCATGTGGTTTTTCTTATTCCCGATCATTTCAGTGTGCCCCACGTAGTATCATAGAGGGTAGAACGTAGCATAGAGTATTTTAAATAATACTGCGGAAAAATTAATAAAAATATAATGTACAATAAAAATATTATTATAGAATTTATATAAACTTTCCATGGTGTTTGTATCAAATAATAATGTTATCACCTGCTCCGGCTGCTCGCGAATTGCCTTTTAAGTCCCCAGCAGAATATCAGCGCTGCGGTAACTCTGTTGCTGTAATATTATTATCAATCGTTAGCCTTTTTGTTGCTGCTATCTAGTGTAAGTTTTGTTTGTTTTAAGAGTTATTATTTTGTTTAAAAATATTTTTAGGTGCTTGTAGCAACAAATGAAGAGAGAAGCACCAGCTTTCAAATAAAACAAAGAATCATTTAAATCGGTATAACTAGAAAAGTGCTAGGGTAACATACATAAAAAATACAGTCGAAATGAGAACCTCCTCCTATTCTCGAATCTTTCTTTCTTACGCCAATCTAGGTATTTTAGCTTAAGGAGTAAACGAGATATCCATACCGCCATCTATTGAAAACCTACTTCCGTGTACTATTATTTATTTTGTGCTTTCGTATCGCAAAGTCGCCTTTTTGATAGTCGCGTGTCGAAATAAGATGAAAGATACCAACCACTACAATAAATTCTGAGAGTATTGGTATGGGAATATGGGCGAGTGAAACCTTGTTGTAATTATGGTTTAAATGCTGTATAATGCTATATGGAGCGACGATCTGCTCAAAGTGGCTAGTAGAAGCTGGATGCGCGTGCGGATATCCCGGTTAAGTGACGCGCCTTACTAGAGGCCTATGTTAGTCTGATGTTGATGATATATTCTGACTAAGTCTTGTGTTAATATTCAGGAATGTTTATGAGTCAACCGTTTGTTCCAGTGACCAGTGATGTAGCGTGATGTACGGTAACGCTAGTGAAGAGAGTACGGCTGATGAAACACATGAGCATCTCGCTGTGTTCATCGTTCTTTACGTGTTTGTATCCGTGATCGGGATTATTGGTGAGTAATCGAATACTATATGCAAAATTCTATCAGTGATATATCACCCACCTTGTAATCGCCTTGGGATTTTTGACTTCCCATTACCATAACAGTCCATCAAAGTCCACTGCTAACATAGATTGGATAATAGTGAGGATATTTGCCATAGTTGCCAAGTTTGGGAGGCGGTAGGCGTTTTACGTATCTTGCAGAAGGCTAGCGATAGTGAAATGAGAACAATAATTGCTGATAAATCGCAGATTCGAATTATGTATCAGCGATAACCAAGCTAACTAGCGACATTGCTGCCATGTGGTCGCTAGTTAGCTAGGGTTTGGTCGCTAGCCTTCTGCAAGATACGTCATACGCCTACCGGTCGGCAACCGCACTTTTTAATGTTTTAGTTGTTATTAGGAAGACAACTCTCCTCATACATGGAATAGTAACAGTGAATTTCAATAAGTATCTCTACATAGAATAAAACAAAGTCGCTTCCCGCCGTCTGTACGCTTAGTTCTTTTAAACTACGCGACGTATTTTGATGATTTTTTTACATGTATTTGAATGGGTCCTTAGATAATTTAAAACTATTTGGACCCGTTAAGTGGCGCCGTTGTTGAGATCCCGAAATCTGCCGTGCGATGCCGGAGCGAATCGCTAGTTATTTAATAATTTATATTGAACAAAAATATTATGTTCTATTATCTTTTAATTTCTAAGAACTCTAGTATTCCGAATGATATTTCTAACATCGGCGTCACATAAACTATTAAATCCAATAAAGTCCATCCGACCTTAACAAAGAACCGTGGTAGTTCAGGGGCTAAGCGCTCGTTGTAAAACGCGAGCAACCCAGACTCGATCCCCGCCGGTAGCATTAAAATTGTTAATTGTAATTTTAAGTTATTTATCGCAAGTTTTCCGTTAAAGGAAATATCGTGAGGAAACCTGCACTTGCATATCTAAAAAAAAAACTAAAACATTCTAAATCTATTGAGCATTTAAGGATATTTGTATGTAATTAATAGAATCAGGCGTTACTTTGCGGAAATCCATTATATAAAAGCTTTTAGAAAAATTTACGTCGCAAATATCCGCGTAATAAAATAAAATGATGTGTCTTACATAGTATGAAGAGCACCTCCCGCCCTCCCTCAATTGCGTGCACTATCCCCGTCACCACTAATCCCAGCACCGCTACTCCCAACACCACTACACTAGGCAAAACACACCACTGACCATAATACGATACGTGTTTCGCCTCTACACGAGGCATCCTCAGGTGATTTTTTTTTATAGGATAAGGGTGACAAACGAGCACACAGTCCACTTGATGGTAAGTGGTTGCTGTGGCCCATAGACATCTACATCTATCCTCTATTACAAATCAAAATATAGATGCGTTGTCACCCGTGAGGACTAAGATGGAATGCCTCATTTCCAGTAAAAAGGGCCTCCGGCCACCTGCACTCACTAAGCGAAACGCAGAGGTAAACCTCTACCTCACGCTGGTTTTCTGTGAGGTCGTGGTACCACCCCAGTTCGAGCCGGCCCATCCGTGCGACAGCAAAATCTGCCGCGTGGCTCTACCACTGTACAGTACCACACTATATATATACACTGTACCAGTAGGCACTTGTTTTGGCTCGCCGCTCACTTAGCGGTTAGCCACCGTAGAGTCTATATCACCTGAGGATGCCTCGTGTAGAGGCGAAACACGTGACGTATTATCGTCAGTGGTGTGTCTTGCCTAGTGTTGTGGTGTTGGGAGTAGCGGTGCTGGGATTAATGGTGACGGGGATCGTGCACGCAATTGAGGGAGGGCGGGAGGTGCTCTTCATACTAGGTAAGACACATCATTTTATTTTATAACGCGCATATTTGCGAAGTGAATTCTTCTAAAAGCTTTTATATTTGTATGTATTAATGGGCAGATCACAAAGGATTTGATTTACAAGAAAAACATATGTTACTGTATATCTATATAACTTGTATTCACAATAAAAATTGAATTTGAAAAGAACATATGAGATCTGTCAACACACATTGGGACATCACGGCGGACATTTTCTGGTCTAAAACACTCTCAGAAATGAGAGAAGGCCTGTGCCCGTCTATGGGACGTACACAGGCTGTAAAATGAGCATCTTCATCATCATCCATCCAAACTCAAGTTAATCTTACCATCTCAGCAACAATGAAATGTTTCATGAAGCAAGTATACGTAAAATAGGACAGGAAGAGGGAACTGACAACTTTTTTCCAAATATCAGCCCACCAGCTTGTGCATTTTTGACGGGCTTGAGCCAATTGACCAACGAAGTTTTGGCGGTTGAATTACGCAAAGGTGGTCATAATAACACTTGGGAATGAGATGATGGACAAGCTATTTCTGATTTGCTTTATTTTGTTAATTGTAATATACTTATTATATGATGCGATTTTTTTATGTGGTAGAGCCATGCTGCAGCTATATTAGTAGTATAGTTGTATCATGAATGGGTCGGCTCGATCGGGGAAGGAACACGCTCTCACAGAATACCAGAGTAAAATAGCAGCTTCCACTGCTGTGTTTCGTATGGTGAGTGTAGAGAACCGGAGACCCATTTTACTGGAAAAGAGGCATTCCTTCTTAGTCCTCACGTGTGAGTGATTTCTATTAAAAAATATCTTCTATAAAAAAAATTTAAACCTGTTCTTTTTTTCGAAAACAATTATCTCGATGGGTTTCTTCCTGTTTCTTCCCAGAACATAGGTATTTCCTGAACCGGTGGTAAATTAAACATAAGAATGATGATATATTAAATAAAAAGTGTCTATTACGGTTTAAAAAAAGCCACTGTCGTGTACTTTGTAGTCGCGCTTTGACGCGGCATTAAGCGGTCGACTTGCTACCGCCTATGAACGGTGGTGATAAACCACATAATACAGTATAAAGCATATAAATTTGAAATGTAATTGTATTTGCCACGATTCTTGCGGCCTAAACCCTTTCATGTAATATGAACCTTTTTATACGAGTACATGTCTAAAAGCGAGAACAAAACAACGATATATTTATTTAAATGTAGGGTTTAAACGTAATTATGTTAGAATCATGTATTAAATTACTATATATGTAAATCTTACTTAATCAAACTGATACAATAATCTCAGTATAATATTACAGTGATCAATTATTTGATGTATTGTAATGTATTTAATGTATATAATTGAACGCGCTTGTTGTCGTCGTTGTCGTGTTGCTTATTGTCGAGCACTACTAAGACTGCTCGATACTCATTAAGATTTAAGATAACACAAGTACGAATATATACTAAAAAATAACATTACAGCTTATCAAAAGTTCACAGCTGAACATAGGCCTTTCATAGATTGCCTTATACGGGCAAATTTACCATAATTGCCATGTTTGTTGTTTGAAAGAAGATGCTGCAGCCCGTCTCCTGGTTTGTTTCCCTTCACCTCTTACGATATCCTCGGACCGGTATTGTTCAGTGGATAGTCTTACTCCGCCAATACACATACGGTCAATGTAAATATATAACGACTATCACAGAAATGTAATGTTAAAACAAATCCCTTTGACTGTAAACTAGTTAGACGATGCTGAAAAGTAAAAGTACACGTGGCCTGCGGTCCAAGTAATCATAGCAGAGACACGTTGCAACGTACGTAATATGGGTGCAGCATGAAACGGTCGGCACGACCGAAGAAGAAACACGCTAGCACAGATAATACCAGTGGGATATAACAGTAAGAGCCATGGTAGCTCAGATGGATGGATTTTATACGTCTCTGCATTACGACCTTTAACTGATAATAGACGTAGATTTCTACGGCCGCAGTATTTATTTACAATCATGTGGATTGTGTAGTTGTCTGCCAACGTAGTAATAATAGATTACTCAGATTAGCGACGACATTTTTTTTATTAAATAAGGGTTAAAAATGAGCACATAGTCCACCTGATTGTAAGTGTATGCTGTGTCCCATAAATATCTACATTTATCTTCGATTAAGAATCAAAATATAGATGAGTTGTCATCGCTGAGGACTAAGATGAAATACCTCGTTTCTAGTAAAAAAGGGTCTCTGGTTTTCCACACTCACCATACGAAACACAGCAGCTTTAAGCTGTTATTCGACGCTGGTATTCTGTGAGAGTGTGGATCTACCCCGGTCAAACCGATCCATTCGTGCCACAACTAATTAAAAATAAAGATTAGTGCCATTGTTGTGAGGCGTCTGGTACTGCAATCAACCTGACAAGTGTAACGATTACAGTACAGCCTCTGGGGAAATGAAAACTGCTATAAACTAATGCTATGTATATTAACTCTACAATGAGAAATGCCAACGTCCAACAGTGGTGTAACAGAAGTGCTGATAACATGGTCTAAAAAAATTAGAATTAAATTATACTATGTTTTTATAGAAAATATTAGCATCCATTATTTTTCATTCCTTGCAACCTAACAGCCTATTAACATTTTAAAGCCACGGCTGAACTTAAGCCTTCCCCATAGATTGACTCATGAGATCTTATTTATTATAGCTTGGCAGGCGATCTGCAGCTGCAGTTTTTTATTTAATCTGAGTTGTATTCATTCCATCTTAGTCCTCACGGCTAACAACGCATCTGCATTTGACTAACAAACGAGGATAGATGTAGATGTCTATGGGCCACAGCAACCACTTACCATCAGGTGGACTGTATGCTCGCTTGTCACCCTTATCCTATTAAAAAAAGAAAGATACTGCCGCTCATATCCTGTTACGTATCCCACTTTTGCCTCTTATAACACCCATCGGATGATATTATGAAGGTAGTAGTATCTCTTAAGCCTCCACTACACGGCTGTTTCATATATGAATGTAACTAAAGGGAAAAATATGTAAATTTTATTGTATGTTTTTGTTTTAGCTACGTTTGGTTCAGCCGGGTCCTATAAATTTCCATGAGAATGTTCCTCAATCACCTTACAAAAGAAAATATGTAAAGTAACAAATAAGTTAACACAGAATTATTACATTCTTGTATTGTACGTTTGTCCCAACATCAGACATCATAGATCATTTAGCAGGATCTTTTTTATCTTTGTCACAGTACTGGCTTTATTCCGCACGATGAAATTTTTGGAATACGTTTAAATCTTTGGCCATGAGTTGCAAAACAAAGCGATTACAAATGATTCACAACGGTTTTTGTGAAAATTATCCTTTCATCCTTTTTGTTCATTTGTTACGTCGTTATCATCATCATCATTATCATAAACATGGAATGCCTCATTTCCAGTAAAAAGGGTTTCCGATTCTCTACACTCACCATATGAAATATAGCACCATTGAGCTGCTATTTTACGCTAGAATTCTGTGAGAGCGTGGTCCTACCCCGGTTGAGCCGACTCATTCGTTGTACTATCATAATCATTAATTTAAAAAAATATTTTGTTTATTGCAAATCACAAACGTAAAGTCGCGTTCTCGACTACAGCGGAGAGCGGGGCGGAATCAATAGCGGAGTGGTGGTAGAACGGTGACTACTGTTCTCGATGGCAGCGGTGTAGCAAGTAGTGATATCATCGATAAGAAAAAGTGCCCTTAGATGGTTGCAGTAGTCGGCTAGGGTCGTAGCAGTAGGTAATAGGTCAATCGATTGCATCCAAATCAGGGAATAGTTGCAGTCGCTGAAATTTTGAAATAGTTGCACAAGCCGAAATCGGTTGGAAAGATATATAATTATATAATGATTAGCGATCCGCTCCGACTTCCCACGGGTAATTTCTAGATATTCACAACAGCGCCACCTAGCGGTTCAATAGTGAACCGTTTAGATAATCTAGGGACCCACACAAACACACATAAAATCATTGCATAAAATAATCATCAAAATCGGTCCAGCCATTTTCGTGTTTTGGCGAGACTAACGGACAATTATGGATTTTTATATAAAGAGATAATATTATTATATGTTTGCGATACGTAGAGTCAGATACAAATCCTACTTTAAAGTGGTTCAAGGGATTATTACTTAATTTATTTTAGAATAAGGATGATACCGTTATGGTATCGAGCACATAGTACACCTAATGGTAAGTGGATAGCGTGGCCCATAGAGAACTCCTCGATTAATCAAAATGGAAAATGTGTTGTCACCCCTGAGAACTAAGATGGAAAGCCCCATTTCCAGTAAAAAGTGTCTGTAGTCTCTCTACACTTACCTTACGAAACATAACATTATGTTGCTATTTTACGCTAGTATCTGAGAGCGTGGTCCATCCCCGATCGAGTCGACCCATCCGTGCTAACACCATAATATATTCCACTGTTTCGTTTATTCGATCGTAATCAACAACTATCAATGTTGATTCTGAGATGGTTATGATATCGCCTCGCGGCTATTCTCGGCGTACATGCCGCGGCCCTGTAATAGCATTGTGTCTGCGGGCAATGTATTATTCGATTGCTTTTACAATAACATTAATATCGCAATTGCTATGTCATATTGAAATGAAATGAAAGTTCATGTTTCCAACATATTCTTAAATTAGTACAAGCTAGGAGTTCTTTTAAGATTAAAGATGCTTGTGGTAGAATATCCTCGTCTTCCTTGAACTAAGTATGTACATTCAACAAAAGAGAAACAGGGTGTGCACACACACACAAGCTCGCACGCTCGCGTGAGCTTTGTGTGTGTGTGTGTGTGTGTGTGTGTGTGTGTGTGTGTGTGTGTGTGCGCGCGTGTGTGCGTATGTGTATGTGTGAGAAAAAGACAGTGAGTGAATGTGTTTATAGGATAAATTCTAAGAAAGCGTCAGTTTGATCATAATTAAGTGTCTTAAGCCACTGCATGTCTTTAATGGTTATATTTGCAATATTTTATTCATCTGATTGTATAAATGTTCTGATTGTTTGTCATATTGATGTTTCGCAAAGGTGGTTTTCGTTCTCCAAATAGGAGCTACGCTATAATTTCTTATTTTACTACTGTAATTAGGATTAAAAGCCAAAGTCATGTTTATTCCGCCTCGTTATCGACCCGCCCTTTTCTAATTTTGAGAATAAAGATACGGTTTAAAATTATTCGTATCGTCTTTTATTCGTAGATTAATCCATGATATACCGCTAAAACTGTAACTAATTAAAGTTTACTTTACTAATGAATTATATCTTTACTTTACTAATAAAACTATAATCTCTTTTATTAGAAAAAATTACATTTTAAACTTCCTGAAAAAAATTATAATATTAATTATATCACACTATTATTGTTGTAAGTTATAGCTTTAAGTCATGATGTAATCTGTTGTGTTGTCCAATAAATAAATAAATAAATAATTTTCTCAGGGATGTAATACAGGTACGTTGTTATGTAGAACACGGATTGCTACGATATTATCGCTCAGTTTATTTTCATTTCATGATATTGTCTGAACGAAATATCCAATTTCAATTACTTAAAGACCAAATAGTGAGTAAATAAAGTATCCGTCATGTTACAGAGATACAAAGATTTGATAAGAAGGAACTAAAAAGTCTAACTCGTTAATAAATTTTATATTTCTATCGGTGCACGCAGTGCGTGCCAAGAAATAAAAAAAAAAATATTAGTGAATTTTTAGCTCAATGGATTTAACAACTATAACTTAACATTTTAACAAAAATATAGCCTTTGTTCTGAGTATACTGGTTTACTATCTATAACATTGCCAAGTTTCATCAAAAGCAGTTCCGTATTTTTTGCGTGATGAGCGAAAAACATACAAAGATCCAAACAAATATTCACATTTATAATATTAGTCCGACTTTTATTACTAGTAGGGAAATTAAATGTTCATTTTTTCACAGGCAATGTCAGTTTAATGGCAGCACTGGCCTCTGGTGGCGCGTCACGACTTCGAACCCCGCAGCTGTTGAGCGCATGCGCAGCGGATCTATTAGTATGTGCCGCGAGTGCACCACTAGCCGCCACGCGTGCAGTGAGGGCACAACAGCTACCCTGTCATGTGACAAATTACATCGAAGTGAGCCTTACATTTTTTTTAATGAATTTAATTAGCGACGGCTCCGTGGCCCAGTGGCTTAACAATAAATTGCAGCGCTGAGGGCCGCAGGCTCGAATCCCGAACGGAATAAGCATTTGTATGGCCTACAAATAATAGTTCCGTTCCAAAAATACAGACATTTTTGTCTTTGTGAAATGTATGTACGTAATCTATTCAAGGTAGAAAAGTTGACTCTACCACGCAGTAAACATGGTAGAGCCTTGCTTTAGCTTGGATATGGTAGTAGCACAAAGGGGTCGGTGTCATCGGGGAAGTCCACGTTCTCACAGATTACCAGCCTTAAAAAGCAGCTTAATGCTGCTGTGTTTCGTTTTTTATATAGGATAGGGTGACAAACGAGCACACAGTCCACCTGATGTTAAGTAGTTGCTGTGACCCACAGTCATCTACGTCTATCCTCAATAAAGAATCAAAATGCGATGCGTTGTCATTCGTGAGGATTAAGATAAAATGCCTCTTTTCTAGTAAAATGGTTCTCTGGTTCTCTACACTCACCATACGAAACACAGCAGTTTTAAGTTGCTATTTTATACTGGTATTCTGTGAGAGCGTGGTCCTTCCCCGGTCGAGCCGACCCATTCGCGCTACAACTTTACTAGTAATATAGCTGCAGCATGGCTCTACCACGTATAAAAAGTGAGTGTAGAGAAAAGGAGATCCTTTTTAGAGGAAACGGGGCATTTTATCTTGCTTGCTGCTTTTTGTCACTGATATGGATATATTTTACGCCTGGTGTATACGTGGTGTTTATGCCGCCAACTTTAGGCACATTCTTTCATTACTAGGGAGGTTTTGTTTTTGAGCCCAGCTCGAGTGCTTCACATATTCTCAAATTTAAAATGCTCTGGCATGCTGGTTTCTTCACGTGGAAATGAACTCTTTAAATCCACAATTTTATTTGTGCATAGTTTTATACATAGCAGATGTAAGATGTATAGTACTTAATCGTATGATATTATTTTAAAAATACAAGATGACATTGCTTATTTAAAAATATACGAGACCGCGCCTGTAGAATTATTTTTTTAATAAAAGACGAATATTTATAATCGGTTTGGCTGTTTCCGATAAATGGTTACTCATTTTACGTTCATTAAAAACTATACTCGTCGAATATAGAATCTTTTCGTTCATGGAATTCCGTTATTAAAGAAAGTCAAAAATCTATCCATGTATTTTATAGAAATTACTTCTATTTCTTTGTATTACAGTCGTTCCCTGTGGCTGCGAGTACACTGTCGATTGTCGCAATGGCGACAGACCGGTGCGGCGCAGTGCTGCGAGGACGCGGCAACTCGTTGTGTGCTCGCCCATATGTAGCAGTAGCGGCTGTTTGGTTTCTGGCTTTTATATTGGGTAAGTAATCTTATATTCGTATATACAACAAAAATATAAAGTATAGTTAAAAATATAAAGATATTCAATCTTCTAATTTAATACTGCAATATACTAGCTAAAAGTACAACTTTGTAATGGCTTGCGAATCTTTACATATGAAATTAGCGTTTTGTCGTACTGACCATTTTTCTTTTACATATGAAATTAGCGTTTTGTCGTACTGACCACTTTGATCTGAAATACCTCCTCTTTGGTTAAGAACTCCAAATTCAAATTTATTAATTCATTTAGCTGGTACATTTGAGTTTTGAAAACAGTCATTCATTTGTTTTTTCCTCATTATTTTTTCTTTGGCGTCGCTTATTACCGCACTATGGAAAACATGAAATATCGGTATATTTAAGAGTACCTACGAGTTCTACCGTGGCACCAGTGCTGCAGAAACAGCTCGAAGGATTAATAATGTGTACGGCGTTAGTGTCGCAAAAGAAAGTACGGTACGTTTTTGGTTTCAACGTTTTCCTCTAATCCTCGTTACCACTAATCCCAGCACCACCAATCCCAACACCACTACACTAGGAAAGACACCACTGACGACAATACGACACGTGTTTTGCCTCTACACGAGGCATCTTCAGGGGATGTAGACTCTGTGGTGGCTGACCACTAAGTGATTCATATGTAGATAAATTTATACATACATTTAAAGAATGATAAATACTTTTTTTTAATTTAAATATAATGATTGATAACGTATCTAGACATAAATATGAATAATTATTATCAAGTTCATGTCTAAATGTTTGGTGTTGTTTTTGTAAAGTGTACCACAAGAAAGTGGCATTTTGATCTCTAGTAGAGGCCCGCCTCGGTCGCTTAGTTAAATTTTATTTATTTCGAGTGCCAGTCGTAGTTAATTTTAGTTACTCCTATTTTAGAGTTTTTTATGTGTTTGGTTTTTGATGTAAAACATCTATTGGCGTGTCTTGGCAGTAAAGACTCGTATGAAGTGACGGCAAACGGCATGACACTCTCTCTTTTATGCCGTAACGCCTCCTCTACGCCACCGCTACCACTCCTCTTGATTCCCTTGTGTGTTCATGCGCATACAATATACACTTCCTTGCATATCTGTGTGAGTTGTGTTGCGTGTGCTTTTATATTTTTTATTTATTTTAATCCATATTTCATTATTGGTTTCCATTAATTATAAAATCTACCTCCAACAATGATGTTTTCAATTTGCCAGGCCCCGTGCAGGCTATTTTTTATAGCTATTATAAAGCCTTCTACGGTTCCAATGTACGCGTAATCTAGGTATGTTAAAAACGCGCGCAGGTGGATACGAATGGTGGCGTACATGGCACCTTTTTACATTGCGTGATTGTGAACGCGTAGTGACAAGTCGCAAGCTCGCAAGTCGTTCAGCCAGTATCCGCCATGTCTCGAAACACAGCTGTCATGTGCACCACCACTGCGGCACTCATTGTGCAACCAAAAGCCGACTGGCGACGACTCGCCGCGAGTCAACACACGTGCTCAAATTATATACGCGTTGCTGCAGGTACGTACTAGCGTTCCTGTGTACATGTAACCGACTATGCGTACATTGGAACGCTAAGTCCGGACAAGGCTTAAGCCAGCCACCTAATGGGAATTAAGGTTTCATGGCTGTTAGGTGGCTCGTGGATGGTGGCAGTAAAAGAGAACGTCGTTAAAGACGACTACGGGAACGTCTGAAAAATGTTATAGACTCCGATAGATGTCGACATTAGCATTTATCGAAATCTCGATGTAAGACACCCCCCATACCGGCGATCTGTAGTAGTTTGAAAATTGCAAAACATTTTGTACTACCATCGACAATGTTCGTGCGGTGCTTGTTGATTACGAAAAATCTCCATTTAATTTTTACTGGTAACGTGGCACTCCATCTTAGTCCCCACGCATCTGCATTTTGATTTTTAATTGATCATAGATGTAGATAAGTGTAGACTACAGCATCCACTTATCATCATGTGGACTACGTGCTTATTTAACAACCTTTCTTCTACAAAAACATTGAGTAGGCTCAAACCAAAAAGTGCTCTGTTACCGGCTGATTAAGAAATTTCTCACAACGTTTGGTTATTTTAAGAAACTTACCACAGTTTTTTTTTGTGCAGGTGCAGTTATAGTGATAGCTACGTGCCTGTCCTGTCCGCCGTTAGCTGCAGCACACGCCGTGGTTACCTATTGCATTCCTGTCATAGCAGTGACTCGCTGCCATTGGGCAGTTCGTGTCAAACTAACAGCGCTTTCGCTGACAGCAAGAGCAGCCCACGGCGAACTACCTTTACCTGTTCCGCTTATTCGAAGACCAACACACGTAATCATTGTGGCTGGCGTCGGACCGAGGGAGCGCCGAGACGCAGTCGATGTCGGTGATATTAGAAACAAGAAGAAACTGCAGCCAAGTCTTCTGGGTCCACAGCCGCAGACGTCAACACTGCGGTCCAGGAGACGCCTGGGCAACGTTCTCATTGCGATCGGTGCAATATTCGCCGCGTGTTGGTGTCCACACGCAGCTATTGTTATATTGAGCGCTTTTGGAATTCACGCACCATTTATCATAGCACAGTATGCCCTGCTGCTCGGTCACGCTCACTCAGCGCTGAATGCTGCCGCGTATTGGGTACTTAACAGGCATGCATTGACTGCAGCTTGCGCTGCTTGGCGCATACCGCAATTACGTGTACGGGAAGAAAGACCTTCGTCTACCAACGAAGCAGCGCTGGGAGCCTTTCACCCGAGACTCGCGCGTCCAGCACCTTCTCCACGGCCGCCCCCTTCTAGCTTTTTGTATTGAAACTCCTTACCTTCTAAGCTCTATCGATCTGTGATTCCTGTTTCTCAGTGCCTCGTACACTACGGTTAACCCTAGCCAGGGTGCCGCTCGTTTCGTCTTTATAAATGTGGTTGTTTGAGATTTTATGGAGAATAATATCTGTGAAGCAATAAAGTGCATGAAACACTCATGTATGTTTTATTATAGTTTAGTCATAAAAGTTTACTACTATCATCCTTTTCTTGGACCTATAACAGTTTTCAATAAACGATAAGTTTTTCATATGTGTGATGATAATAATAACAAAAGTGTGTAGTATTCTTGCTAGAGCCACGCTGCAGCTGTATTTTTGATTTAGCACGAATAGGTTGGTTCGACTGAAGAAGGAGTACGTTTTAATAGCGTATCAGTGTAATGTAGAAGAGTTATACTACTGTATTTTGCAAGGTGAGTAACAGAACGAGTAAATCCTATCTACTGATAACTAGTAATGTTGATAATCTATCATTTTCATAATTAGTTGAGTAAATTGATGGGTCGTTTCGACCGGGGAAGGACCACGCTCTCACAGAAAACCAACTTAAAATAGCAGCTTAGCACTGCTGTGTTTCGTATGGTGAGTGTAGAGAACCGGAGACCCTTTTTACTGGCAAAGAGGCATTCTATCTTAGTCCTCACGGGTGACAACGCATCTGCATCTTGAGTCTTTATTGAGGATAGATGTAGATGTCTATGGGTCATAGTAGTCACTTACCATCAGGTGGACTGTGTGCTCGTTTGTCACCCTATCCTATAAAAAAAAACACATTACATCTTATGAAATAATTTAGAGGCTTAAAGCCCAACCTTAAAAATAGTTTGATAGGATTTGAATAAATGGCTTATAATCGATTATCAACATTATTACTGATAATAAGGCTTTCTATCTTACATTCTATCATACACGGAAAAAACGCATCTGAATTTTGATTCTTAATCGTTTGTAGATGTTTATCGTTCGTCCCTATCGTCATTTATCGTTTTTCGCCATTACTCATATAGATCGACTGGTAGAGAATGCCATAAGGCTAATGCCGTATGGCATTCTGCCATTTAAGTCTACACTTTGCAACCCCATGTTGAAGGTGTTAGAAATAAATAGTAAAATAACAATAATATAAAAATTTTAACATTATCATCATGGGCCTGCAAACATTTGATATCTAACATGGTGCTCTAGTGAAAAATTGCTTGCCATATAATTTATATTGTCACTGTTACTCGACTCCACAAAATCAGTAATTCATACATGGTAGAGCCATGCTGCAGCTATAATATAGGGAAGAACCACCAGCGTAAAAGAGCATCTTAATTCTGCTGTGTTTCGTTTCTGAGTGTGAGAAGAATGAGAGAACCGGAGACCCTTTTAATGAAAACAAGGTATTCCGTCTTAGTTCTCAACGCATCTGCATTTTGATTCTTAATCGAGCATCATCTACTACAACCACACCATCTACTCATCATCAAGTGGAGTGTGTGCTCGTATGTCACCCTTAATGTATTAAATATAGGGCTTTGTCATTTTGTAGTTAGAAATTGCTTGCCATATTATTGATATTGTCACAGTTACGCTACTCCACTAAGTCGGTGATGCTTACATCAGACAAAGTATGCAACGGCCTATAGTTTACTCAGCCAGTAAATTGGATGGCTATGTTGTTAGTTAAGCGCTGGCATACAATTGAATGCCTAACCTTTAGTCCAATTACAATGTCGCATAATATAACGTTGTAGCTGAACGAAACTTGTACTGTCGATACGGTTAAATCAAGACACGCCAAGTTATTTCAATTTAGATGTAATTACATAAATTTTGTAACATGTGTTATATAAATTATGTAATATATAAATAGTAAAGGGATTTCTTATATTCATGCAAATATTATACAAAAAAGATGAATTCCATTCATTCACGGGTGACATTTTGGTTCGCAAACGAGGATAGATGTAGATGTCTATAGGCCACGTTTTTGACAACGTCAAATTTTAAAATAGTGTTGTCATCTATAGAGTAAAATGCACCCCCTAGGTTTTAGGGAAAAAACATTCGTGTTTTAGTGTTTTTTTTTCGTCTTACTTAATAATATGCTTAATTGAAATACAACATGGAATATACCAACTATGATTAGCGATAAAAATGTAAGATTATCATTCTAGCATACGTCTAAAATATTACTTTAAGTCAATAACTGTCTAAACGTTCCTAATGTTTTTATTTTGTGTAAACATTTATCAATGTTAGAAGGAGATAAAATACAAACTCGGTGTCTCTCTTTCTAAAAAAAATGAGGAACGGTTACAATGTTCCAAGCGCTTACTCCCTATATTATATTATAAACTCCTTGCACTTATCTTAGTTCTGCAAAATATTACATTTTACTATGTAGGTAACTAAATTTAATAAGTTACCATTCCAGTATAGATGTGCAAACTCGGAAAAATTATGACTCGTGTGAACTCGAGTTGAAATTCACGTAACTCGAGATTAAACTCGAGTTACGCAACTCAAGTTACCAGTACGAAACCAGAGTAAATGATTGGTTACAAATTAGTAAGTATCTATAACAATAAAACTAACTATAGAGCAGTCTTCACGAAACAATATTAGTCTAACTTAAAGATGTAGGTACATAAGCTATTAATAGTTTAATTATCACAGTCAACATAATCTTAAATAAATAAAAAAAAATCAAATTCAAAATATTTATTGTAAGTTAAGTGTTACATTTAAAATATGATGTATCTGACAACTTAACCACCCTTTTCGAGTATTACAATAATAGTTCTGTGACTTACATAACTACACTGATAAATTAATCAAAACTATAAGAGAAATTTTATCACAAAGCACGCACACAACGAACGAATCGCGCTCTTTCTCTTTTGCTGGCCTTACTTGATCCGTTCATGTATAACAGCCCAAACTCGAGTTAGGGAGATACAATGCGAGTTAACTCGAGTTAAGCGTAACTTGAGTTACTCGAATTAGTGACTCGAGTTGACCCATCACTACATTCCAGTATCGTTGCAATTATACCTACTTGTTATCAACAATAATAGTACAAATAACAAAAACAAATAACAGCTTACAAGTTAAATCAAGCATGAGAATGAAGCAAAGTCAATGCTGGTTACTTTTGCGAATTATGCGCTTGGGCCTCGTCGTCGACTTTGGTGCGCTATCACTATTAACATTCGATGGGACTTTCTTGGTCATAGAATCTGATGGTCAGTCCGATGCAGCAGACTGTTCATACTGCACAATGAGCTCATCGAGGTCCTTGGTGTCTGTCAGCCGATGGCGCTTACCACTACGCAACTTGACGTAGATATTACCATCAAGTGACCAAACTTGTCTGACACCAAAGTGCTTACGTGCAGCAATAAATAAAATTTGACGCTGAAGAGTAAGAAACTCAGAAAGCACATATTGAGTACCTTTCAACTGTGTTTTCTTGGCCCAAATGGTTGATTTAATAGACTGATCACTAAACCGTATCAGGACTGATCTTGCACGAGCGTTCGATACTGCACCCAGACGATGGCGAGCCACAATGGAGTTTGAAGAAAATTCTTGTGGTTGAAGCTTATCCTGCAGGACAGTTACCACTATATCTAAGATGTTTTCATCAGATGATTCCAGAATTCCATTCAGCAATAAATATTTTCTCCGATGTCGCAACTCAATAATGTCAACAGTTTGAGTAACCTCATTGATCTTCTGATGTAGTAGTGACATGATTTGCCAAACATTATCCTTAAACGCTTGAAGGTCACTTGAGAGAGACTTCAAGTCAGGAACCGGGGTAGCCGATTTTTTTGAGTTCTTCAAATTCCGCCATATACGTTGATTGAGAGAAGTTAAAGCAGCTTTTTGGATATTTGCTAACTCAGCAATAGGGGACATTGTCTTGAAAACATATCTTATGGTGTGTTGTGAAAAACAAAAGTGACTGGTGGTAGGGTGATGTAACTTTATTACAGTTTAATCATTAGGATGAGTTTAACCCACAATATATGTAATTAAATACACAAAAATAATAAAAACTGTAAATTATTTTAAAATATCAATAAATACTAATTTAACTATATAGACCAATGTGCAAATTATTTTACATCTACTGCCAAAAAAAAATACATTTATCTACCCATAATAAATAATAATAAAAATGCAGATGCGTTATCACTCCAGAAACTAAGATGTGAAAAATGTAAACCTTAATACGAGATAATGTTGTACCTAGATAGTAAAAAGGGTCATAATCAAACTCTGTCCGCTATTCTGTTATTGCTTCGATTTATGTTAGGATTTGAATATCAGTAGTAAAGCTCAAACTCAAAGTTCCTATTATACGTTAGGGGCCAATGATATTTGCATAGGGTTCAACAGCATTGTCAGACTGAATCGATAATACCAGGATAAGCCAATATTGGCTCTAAGAAGGTTTTATTTATATCTTTTATTCAAAATATAATTGAATATCTAACCCGTATTTGATACAGATTGAAAAAAATGTATTCAATCTGAAAAAAAAAGAATTCATTCCTTTTTTTTAATCCGTTAACTCCACGCTAGGAATTTCTTCTTTTCCGCAGAGGTTTGCCGTAAATAGTTTAAACGTTAACTTTTCATTGAGTAGGTACGTTAAATTGGGAAACAGCTTTTTTGTCTCCAATGCTAAGTGAAGTTTCAGAAAAATTCGTTCCAATGCTGGACACGAGAGTTTTTATTTTATTTCTGAAAGGGATTTGGAACAATTGCTCTGCCGACGCCGCCTTAATTCCTGTAAGTGGACAGCACATGTCCTCAAAATAATTTATTCCTCTAATGCTAACGACTGAATGCTTACGACTCTAATGAAATTTTAGTCCACTGCTAATCATAGATTGTCTCGTAGAAGATATATTTGCTATAGTCACCATGTTTAGCAGGCGGGATAGCAATTGCAGATTTTTATTATTGTTGAGTGTTGATAAGAAAA